CCCCCACCCCTTTTATATTTTTTTTTCCTCCCAAGTTCTCTTGCCTTGCTATCCCCCCTTGAATCCGAAGGCGCCTCGCGATTGGGTGCTGGGGCCGGGTACGTCAGATAGACTGTGACGTGCAGTCTTCCTGTTTCCTTCAGCTGTGTCTTAAAGTAAATCTTGTTGTGGAGCGGAGCCCTCAGCTGAGGGAGCGCTCTGAAATAATACACCATTGCAGCCGGGGAAAGCAGAGCGGCGCAAAAGAGCTCTCGCCGGGTCCGCCTGCTCCCTCTCCGCTTCGCTCCTCTTCTCTTCTTTACCCTTCTCCTCTCTCCTCCTCTGCTGCTCTCTCCTCTCCTCCGCTCTTCTCTCTCCTCCTCTCCTGCTCTCTCCTCTTCCCTTCGCTCCTCTTCTTTTCTTCTCCTCTTCTTCCCTCTCCTCGCCTCTCCCCTGCTCCTCTTCTCTAGTCTCCCCTCCCTGCCCGCCTCTCTCTCCCCTCTCCTCTCCCACTCGCCCCGCTCGCTCGATCGCTGTCGCACAGACTCACCGTCTCTTGTCCAATTATCATATTCATCACCCGCAAGATATCACCGTGTGTGCGCGCGCGTGTTTTCCTCTCTCTGCCGGGGGAAAAAAAAAGAGAGAGAGAGAGAGGGATAGAGAGAGAGAGAGAGGCTCGGTCCCACTGCTCCCTGCACCGCGTAAGTATCCTCTTCTTCCCCTCATGAGTCCCTCCCCTTTTCCAGAATCACTTGCACTGGCTTGTTCTTGAATGAGAAGGAAAGAAAAGAGCCTCCCATTACTCAGACCCGTGTAAACATTTTTCCCCCCAGGAGAAAATGGTGTTATTTAAATGAATCATAATAAAATAGCCTCTAAACAGTTTCTAAGCGGGAGCCTCCGTGAACTCAGCGCTCCGCTCCTCCCAGTTCCTGAGAGTAAGTGATCCGCTTGGCTTTTATTTCTTTCTCTTTCCTGCTGGTGACTGGGGGTGGTGGTGGCGATGGGGGGGAGGCTGATGTTGCTGGACTTGTCGCTGATCTTGTCACCTTTTGTGTACTGTTTCTGGGGTGTGAGGAGGCGTTTGCTCCCTTTCCTTCTTTCTCCTGCTCTCTCTTCTCAGGAGAGAGGACCGCGAGGGGGACCGGGTCGCTTTTTTGTTCGTGCAGATCCCCGCTTTTCGCCAAACCCCATTCTTCTGATCTCCCCCGGCTAAAACTCCGGGGCCGGTCCCCTCGTCCTTTCTCTTTGTCTTGTTTATTATAGCTGCCTTTCTTCCCGGCTCTTCCAATTTGCTTGTCATTTGCATACCTTTCACTTCTCCTTTTTAACCCCAGCAGAGGACCGGGAGCTGGGAGGAGGAGAGAGGGAGGTTGGGGGGCGCTCTGTTACTTTCCTCTCAAAACGCTGTCGAAGCCGAATTGTGGAAATCGGGCTTGGAGCGGTGCGGTGATGGGTCCCGGGAAACGCGCGCGGCGCCCCTCTCCCGAGCTCCTGGACCCAGGGCTGGGTCAAGTTGAGTAGGGTAAGGCGGCACCGGGAGACTCGGGGGGTCGCGTGGCGGTGAGATTGGGGCACCCGCACGAGGAGGACCGGAGGATCGCGGTCCGGGTAGGGGTAAGGGGTTCTTGGGCAGCAGAAATGGGAGGCAATGAATCTCCCAGCCATCGCTGGCAGACTATGGTGTTGGGCAGCTTCGGTCTGGTCTCATCTGGGTGGTACCTACCGTTTTGCCCCAGTTAGGAGGACTGGGGAGGGAGGACAGCAGAGGTGAGAGTAATTGTTACTGGGAAGACTAGTGAGGAGGGCGGGAAGAGGGGGGAAGAGCTGCTATCTTGCCTGAGCAGACCAGGAGGGGGACGCAGGGGGCGGGGGGAGACATCACCCAAAGTCCAGTTTAGCAAGTTGTTGGTTATTCTGGTGTGCCAGCCCGTTACTCCTCCTGCTAAAGCCGAAGGTTGGTGGAGTGATGGGGGGTGGGGGTGGTAAAGGAGGAGTAAGTAGCTTTCCACAGACTCCCAGGTCTCTGGCCCCTTCCCAGCTTCTTGGGAAATTGAGAGCCCTCCAGGCAGACAGAGAGCAGAACTGGAAGTAGGGGTGGTGCTTAGTCTTAAATAGCCCAAGGAGGCAGGTTGGAGTGTGAAACTGCTGTTCTTGGCAACCCAGAAGGCTACTCTGCCTGGGGGAAGGCTGGAAACTCACCTGCTTGTTTTTATTTTTCCGAGAAGGTCTGTGCTGTCTCCTTGAGCTTATAAAAACAGAGCAAGCACAGGGTGGCCTCCTCGCAAAGTCAAGGCTAGAAGAGTCCCTTCTCCTGTTCTCTTTTCCACTCATGCCCTCCCTTATTTAAAAAGAAAAAAAAAGAAAGAAAAAAAGAACTCATTTCCTTTCCTAAACTAGGTAGGCAGAAATCTATTAGCAGAGTGCGCATGGGCAGGGCCTGACAGGTGTGTTGTGTCAAGAAAGACAGGTGCAAATTTCCTCTGTGTCTATGTGTGTCTGTACAGCTCCAGACCACAATGCTTGCTCGAGGGTTGGAGAGGTTTATGAATTTATGGTTGTCCTGGTTAATAGGATTGTCTGGGCTAATGGGAATTGGGCTGTTGTTGTTTTGAGCCCTGCCATGTGAGTTCTTGGGGTGGGGGCTGGGGGCAAGTTGGTATGTGTTTGTTTATTTTTCTTAAGGATATTGGCAGACTACTGCTGAGGCTGTGTCCCAGGCTTCTGTCTGCCAGTCAGCCCAAAGCACCCCCACTTTAGGCAGCAGGTGGAGGGAGACTGACTTTTCCTTTGCTTCCTTCCAGTTTATGCCTATCTCCCAAGTCTGTGCTTGGCAGAGAGAGAGAACTGTCCTGTGTGTATGTGTGTGTGTGTCTGTGTGTGTGTGTGTGTGTGGTGTATGCTTTGGATAGCAATGAGTGGTGTGTAACTGCCAAGAATTCCAAAGTCAGTTTGAAAGTGTTACTGTTGTTAAAGCTTATCTTTTTAAGTATGCTTTCTCCTTGCCCAGAAAGAATAGGTATGTACATAAACTCTTTCAAGTCATATGTTAAATAATCTCATAAAGTAGAATGAGCCTGTCATTGTCCCAGACATGTGCCAAATATCCTAGATATGAATTTGATGGAGAAAGAAAATATCAAGTACATGAGAAGGTAACTGTGCTTTTCTGTTCTGATGCAAGATGTGAGAAGTCAGTTCTATAGGGAATTTCTTGCAAGAACTTCTGAGTATATCCAAAATGAAATGGATTTTTGTGTGTGTGTGTTGAAGGAGGAAAATGAGAGTATTCATTGTTAACTTGTCCATGGGTTACAA